CAGAACTTGGAAGGCGTAGATGAGGGTCCAGGGGTGAAGGGCTCTTGGAAAAGCAAGCCCTCGGAGCTAGGGCTGCCCACGGAAGAGCGGCCTAAGGACACAGCCGCCTAGAAGGTGGGGCAGGGGGGAAGGGTGTGAGGATGGAGCGAGGAAGACACACTGACGCTTTGACTCCTTGTCCGTAGCAATACCTGCGGCCGGTGGAGGATGTGGCCACGTCCCAAGATGACTGCTACAAGTTCGCCGTCTCCCAGTCGTCCACGGGCACCGTGCTGGGAGCTGTGGTCATGGAGGGCTTCTACGTGGTCTTCGACCGGGCGAGAAAGCGGATCGGCTTTGCCGTCAGTGCTTGCCATGGTGAGTGCCAGGGTGCGGGCCAGGCTATCCACGTGCTCCCTGGTCCGAGCCCCGCCAGTCTGGGAGAATAGGTGCCTCGAGCCAGAGTTAGCGCTAAGCTTCCCACTGCCCGGCGTGGTGACCCTCTGCTGGACGCCAGGGATAGCAAGAGCTGTTGGGCACCTGGAGGAGCTCAAGATCCAAGGGCAGCAGGCTGAGCCTACAGTGTCCTGCCGCCTGCCAGAGGGGAGCTTAAATGCCATTTCAGAATGTAGCAGGTGCCTGGCTGGTGTGCGTGCTCAACGGTTAGAGCATTGGCCCATACACCAAAGGGTCATAGGTTCGATTCCCAGTCCCAGTCAAGGCATGTGTGGGAGGCAGCCAACTGAGGTGTCTCTCACATTGATGTTTCTCCCTCCCTCCCTCCCCTTTCTCCTCCCTAAAAAAAAATGGAAAAAATATCGAGTGAGGATTAACAAAAAGGCCGCTGTTCCCTGGGGCCTGGAGGAGCCATGCCTCCACCTGGCACTGCTTTCTACAGCCTCCTCGGGCCCATTTCAAGGCTGGTCGGGAAGTCCTTTTTCTTGCCTAATCCAAACTGCGGTGACACTGACCTGCCTGCCCACCTTTCCCTCTCTCCAGTGCACGACGAGTTCCGGACGGCGGCGGTGGAAGGGCCGTTTGTCACCCTGGACATGATGGACTGTGGCTACAACATCCCACAGACAGACGAGTCAACCCTCATGACCATAGCCTACGTCATGGCCGCCATCTGCGCCCTCTTCATGCTGCCACTCTGCCTCATGGTGTGCCAGTGGCGCTGTCTCCGCTGCCTGCGCCACCAGCACGATGACTTTGCTGATGACATCTCCCTGCTGAAGTGAGGAGGCCCATGAGCAGAGGACAGAGCGTCTCCTGGACCATCTGGGTGGTTGGTTCGACTTGGTCACAAAGAGCGATGGCACCTGTGGCCAGAGCGCCTCAGGACCCTTACCCACCCACCGATGCCTCTGCTTGACAGAGGAGCTGGCAAGGTGGGCTGCAGGGGCCGCACCGCAGGAAACAGGACAGGGAAGACACGCTCTGGAGGCAGGAAGACGTCACCTCAAACTTGATTGAGAAATTCTGCTGCTTGAAACTTCAGCCCTGATCTTTGCCTACCATCCCTTCCAACCCTCCACCCAAAGCATTCCTCTTTCCTTCGTCCAGAGTGGGGGCATTCCAGCGGTCACCCCCGGTGTCCGCAGGATCCAGCCGTGCTTGCCTGCTGGCCCAAGGCAGTAGGAGCAAATGCAGTTAGCTTTGCTTTAGAGATAAGAATTGTATCAATGAGCTTAACATTGGTGCAAAGACTGCCTCTTGAATTAAACAAAAAATAACCTATTTGTACAAATGGTTGGGAGAGGAAGAGTGAGAGTGAAGACAGGGGACACTGGGATCGAAGCCAGGAGGTAGAAAGGCCACCGCCAGCTCCCATTTTAGACTCCACCTCCAAGCAGCACCCTTTCGTACACAGGTGCTGCTTCCCAGAGTTTTCTCCGCTGTGGGTGCAGCCTATCCAAAGGGAGGTGGGAAGAAGGGCTTATTTGCCAAAAAGCTCTTTTAGCTCTGAAATTCATGTCCACTATGACGTTCCATCTAACAATGAAAGTCTACCTTATTGACTCCACTCGTCTCTCCCTGAACGCTGTGCTCTATAAACGCTCAATAGCCGAGTAACATCCCAGCCCTCCCAACCCCCGGCATCCTCTGGAAAGCAATGGGAACACAGCAACCGCGCAGGGCTGGCCTCGTCTTCCGGGCACCTCTTCACTCCCCCTCACAAGCCAAGACCTCGGAGCTCTGCAGCTGAGGTGCTAAGAATGGACAGAACTCTCCTCCCTAACAGTCCTGGAAAGCAGAATCCTACGATTCCTCTCACAGGCACAGGGGCGATGCCCTTCGCCCGCCTGGAGTGCTTCCTGTTCAGCTGTCAGATCTTTACATAACGCAGAGCCGTTCCATTGCCTTCCCACCCCGAGGTCTCAGCCGCCACCTACTTGGCTAAGGCACCCCCAGTGGCACAAGTACTGGAGCCAGAGTGTTAGAACACAGGGCCCGCTGGCTACAGCACCGTCACCTTCAGGGTCCAGCTGCCTGGAGAAAGGACGGGCCTCGGCTTCCTGCCTTCCTTTTCCACAAGAGCCCCAGGATGCACCCATCCTCTCCTGTCCTGCTCTCCACTCCCCGCTCCTAACAGTGCTGGGTACCAGGTTGGTTCTCGCGCTAAGTACTGGGTACCAGGTTGGTTCTCGCGCTAAGTACTGGGGACAAAGCTCATTTCCTATCCGTTCTAACACTGTCAACTATGGCTCCAGTGTTGGCGGAAAGAGCAGATTTTCCCGGTGTACCACGGGACCTCATTCCTCTGCGGTCTGCACTCTGCTTCCAGGTGAGGGCGGGCTGAGTGTGAATTACCTGAGGGAGAGGGACCACAGGAGCGCTCTGGAACCCTGGCTTCAGCCAGCTGCCACAAGCCATACAATAAATCAAGAACACCGAGTCGTAGTTTTTACCCGGACTCTCATTCCCCTGCACCTGGTGCTGCTTGGCTGACGGGAACACCCAGAACCACAGACTGACAGGAAGACTGGAGACTGTCTGCTTCCAGCTCGGAACTTACTGTGTAAATAAACTTCCAGAATTGTTATCGTGAAATAAAAGGCCACCTTCTGCTTTATGCTTTCTACCCATGTTGGGGGGAAATGGCTTTCCCCCAGCTCTTTCCAGGGCATACAAGTTAGCCCTTCATCAGTAAGCCCCACTGTCCTTTTCTTCAGAGAAAACATGGGCTCTCTTTTAAGAGTAACTTCCTTCCTATCCTGGAACTACAAACTAAGTATAAAAAGAACTTTTTTGACAACAGCTTCTTGCTTGTAAAAATATGTATTCTATATCTCTATTTTTAAATCTACTCCAGAACAATGACTGTCCCATCTCTCCTCACTGCGCTGGGCCTTTCCCGTTGGTGTGCATGGCTTTAGCACTGCGGGCCAACGGACGAGGGAGAACGAGGCTGGCCCAGACTCAGGCTGCTTTCTGGCTGGCCCTGACTAAGAAGAGAGCAGCGATGCGGCCCCAGGCCATGCACACCTCTCCCCACACTGTCCTCCAGCTACAGATGGCTTTCCAGGGTTTCTACCAGGAAGCAGTTAAGCCTCTTACTCCCTCCTTTGGCTTCAAAGATTTGTGGGAAAGAAACAGGATATTCTTTATACCCCCTGAAAAACACTGCAGGTGGCCACGGGCTGCTTTGAAGTTGAGGGGAGATAACAAGATGAAAATGACACACATACACACACACACACACACCCACACACACACACACAAAGGGAAAAAACAAAGGAGCTAGTCTTCCATTGGCACCTTCCCTTACCGACAGCTACAGCACCGGAGACAAGCAAGTCCCATCAGCCAAGGAAAGCAGTTATCTGACCTCTGCAGAGGGGCCTATCAGGCCCTCTCAGTGACCTACAAGATGCCCAGGAGCTCTTGGGAACTCTAGCTCCTCACACTAATGCAGGTTAACAAACCGGGGCAGTTAGAGAAGAGAGAGTATGCCATGAGCAGAAATGGGGAGGAGGGAACTTAGGTGGATGTGCAAGGAGAGGGCTCTGCCCGCCTAGTGCACTGCTGCGAGCATTTCCAGGGCCCAGAGTGAAAAACATTCAGCTGTTGGTGATCTAATAATCTCCTTCCCCTGGGGCTATTTTTAAACAATTAACACTTAGTTTTTAGTTGTTTAATTCCAAAGAGAAGAGTGATGAAGCCACTTGAGAGTAAAGATAAGAGGATATGAAAGCTCGAACAGAGATCCAGGGTTTCGGGGTGCAAGCCAGAAAAGCTCAGTGGCAAAGGGGAACACTGATCTGGTTCCGGGTGGCTACCCAGAGAACACATGACTATTCAACCTCAAACCCACCTCCCTTCCCAGCCCTGGGGTCTCCATCTTACCCGGGGCAGGACACGTTCCCCCATAGCTTTCTTGCTTCAAAAATTAAAGCCCAGCATCCCAAGATCACTCTGAAAATGATTTTGCACAGACATCCCTCCTCAACCGTGCCTGCCTGGAGCTCATCCAAGGTCATCAAACAACTTGGCCGTGAACGACTGCCTTAACCTTCAGAGGGAGGGTCAGCCAGATGGGAAGACCAGAAGGAAGGGAAGAGGGAGGCCTTTGTAAGGCTGGAGGGGTGGCTTCCAGAGAAGACCTTCAGATTGTGCTAGTTTCTGAAGAGACAGCTGTTGAGGAAATGGGGTGAACAGAAGCTTGTGAGGGCGTCGGTACTGGGACCTGGCTGTGTGGTTACTCTTGGGCTGTGAATTTTGCTGTTGTAGAACAGAATATTCGGTAAAGCTAAAGCCTATGTACAAAACATAAGCATTAACACAGTAAAATACTCAATGAAAACACAAACTACCAGGGTTACATTTTTTTCCTCAATCAGTCTCATTTCATCCATTTGGAGAGAGTTGCTAGGACACCAAGGCTTCCAAAGGCTTTCAGTAATCAAGGCATCCAGCCAGACAGAGGGCGAGCACCAGGTTCAAATCTGCACAAGGAACCTTAGAAAATGGACTAGTGGTTGAGCCAAGTCAAAGCAGGATAGCCTTGGAGCCACAGCAGCTTCCCACTGGTTTTTATATTTGAAGACAGCCTTAGGCAGGAATATCATAATTTCAAGACCAAACTAAATATCATCTTAGCTACCATTTGCATCCCCCTCAAGGAATTGCAAGCTGAGGGGGACAGACCATTTTTGCATAATATACACACTTTCATTTACGAACATTGAATACAGACTTTCTATACACACATTACCTATATAATAAAAATGTACATGGCATGAGTATACATCACTGTATAAATATAGAGTTTTAGAAATCTTGAACCCGCGCTTCCTGTTCACATCAGCTTCTCTTCTTCCTCCCAATCAGGTCCATCATTTAGGAGTTGGGCAAAAGGGACAAGTGTCATTTGTGTTGGTCTGGGCCCAGAATTTGATACACTGAAAATAAAGAAAGACATACCTCAAGTTTATCTGGAAAGATGGAGGGAGGGAGGAAGGAAGGGAGGGAAGGAGCGCTATTATAGTTCAATGGGTGTAAGGAATATCCACTAAATCACCCCCAAAGCATCTTCAGAGGTGGACCTGTTCTTTCATAGGAAACATTAACAACCTGCTAATAACAGTGTGCAGCTGCTTTTTGTTGAATATCCAGGCTTGCTCCTTCTAATGATCCATTCAGGCTTGGATGAATTTCCATCTGCTAAAATCTTATTCAGGATTTTCCCTTACCAAGAACTTAGATGTAAATTCAGTTCCTACCTACTGTTAAAATGCAATGAACAAAATATAGTAAAAAAAGAAATCATCCCTGCTGCTGAGGGACTTAACTCTGCTTGGTAACAGGAAGTGATGGGAATGATTGTCAGTGTGGAAAGATAATCTTTAATAGACTTCAATTCTGTCAATGGGGTTACTAATCTCATACCCAGGCTCTCTATTCCATTTCTCTCATCTAAGCAGTCTCCTTTCAATGCTATATTTGAAACAACAGTTAGATACGTATATCTTACTGTCAGTTTCTCAAGTAAGTGACCTATCAGTGCTCTGGTGTGAACTGCTTATCAAGTCTCCAAAGGCAGTGTTTCCCAAACTTCTCTCATGATGAGAATCACCTGGTGGAGTTGTTAAAATACAGATTCCTGAATCCCAACTAAGAAGTGCTAAACTAGAATTTTTGGGAACATATAGGTAAAATTGTATATTGAACTTAGTGAGTACTAGTTAAGTATACAATTTTACCTATACTTAACTTAGTGAGCACTAGTTAAGTATACAATTTTACCTATACGTTCCCAAAAATTCTAGTTTAGCACTTCTTAGTTGGGATTCAGGAATCTGTATTTTAACAACTCCACCAGGTGATTCTCATCATGAAAGAAGTTTGGGAAACTCTGTCCTAAGGGATCAGGATAAAGGAGCTGGAAGATCCCAGCTGCAGTATTCTGAATTCTGCTGATGTTTAAGACACAAGTTACTAAAAATCTTATGTTTAGATGTTTTGGTTTGGTTTTGTTAACCCCCACCTGAGGATATTTCTACACACCCAGACCCAAGGGGGAACGGGGTTGAAGCCATGAACTGAGGCTCTAACCAATTAGCGCACTGGCCAGGGCAATATGTTTAGATATTAATGCTGAGCATCAACACTAAAATGTGCAAGAGAAATTCTCAGTTGTCAGTAAATAAAAAGTTGGAAATGGGGAAGGAGTGTATCACCCACCTCCTTATGCAACACGTGGGAACATGCCATTGGATGCAGCTCGCTGGGCTGGACCAGCTTCTGGCACATGAGACACAGCTTACAGGTGGCTGGAGCCTGCAGAACAGAGGGGAGATGGCCAAAGGTAAGACAATAAGAAAGCTCTGGGTCTCCTTGCCTTTCATGCCCATGACTCCACCTGGTGTTTCCATTCAGTAAAAAGATTTTACACCAGAAGAAGTAAAAGTTCAAATACAGATTCTTGCCAAAAGTACTTACATTTTCCCAGTTGGGGCTGATGAGATAATGGTTTCCTCCTACACTCCATCTGTAAACCTGCCCCTCCTGCTGACATCGCTCCCCACCTTCCCATCCTAGTTTTCGAAGAAAATGAGTCTTACATGTGAAGACCTTCCAGGATATGACACTTGTGCAGAAGGCAAGAACATTGGGGTATTGATTTGGGCCAATGGAGCAGGGAACAAGGCCCGGATCCGACCGAGTGGCTGCAGGCAGAAACATTGTGAGAGTCTGAGTCACAGGGCATGGAAATCACTTAGCTCCCAGACCGGCAGAGGAAGAAAGCAGACTAGGCACTGCTGGCTGCAGCAATGCTTCCCTCCCCAAGTTTTTCTGAAAACTGCCTCTTCCTCAGCCTCTCAGCAGGTCTGCGTTCTCCCCCCAGGACCTTGTCTTACCTGAGTGCTTGCTGCCACTCGCTCACGTTCTGCCAGTCGTGCAGCTACCAACTGGATCAGTTCCTCCATGGTCAGGCCTGCCATGGTGGTACGGGCCGTCTTGATTTGCTGAAGAATGTTGGTCATCTGGGCCCTAAAAAAGAGGGAAATATTTATGTATACTCATGAGGAAAATCCATAAAACCTCTCCTGTAGCCCCTCTGATAATTTTTTAAAAATTAGTCCTTAAAGACACTTACTTATTGCATTGTGGGAACCGAGCCAGCAGTTTTTCCAGGATCTTCTCTAGTTTGTCTACTGGTTGGGGCCGGGGAGTTTCAGTAGAAGCCTTAACACCGCCCAAGCCTGGGGGAGGCGGGATGGAGGCGGCAGGGGGCATGTGTGGACCATGGGAGCCAACAAGGGAACCCAAGCCAGGGCTATTTCTCCCATGGGAGCCAGGAAGGGGTGGGGAAGGCTGGCTGGGCTGGGAAAGGGCAGGGTTCAGGATTGGGAAAGACAAGGAACGGGGATCTGCACTGGGCATAACCATGGGCATTGTGACCTGCCCAATGGAGAAGGGCATCCGAGGAACCAAAGAGGGATTGGGCTGAAACACCTGAAGCATGAAGTCTGTCTGCAGAGGGGAAGAGGTGGAGGACGCAAGAGAAAGGAAGAAATCAATGAGCAACTCTTACACCAAATAAAACCAACAATAACCAGTAATAATAATATAACAAGCCAAAACTGGTTTGGCTCAGTGGATAGAGCATCAGTCTGCGGACTGAAGGGTCCCAGGTTTGATTCTGGTAAGAGGCATGTACATTGGTTGTGGGCGTGTGCAGGAGGCAGCTAATCAATGATTCTCTCTCATCGATGTTTCCAGCTCTTTATCCCTGTCCCTTCCTCTCTGTAAAAAAATCAATAAAATATATATATAAAAAGAAACAAAACAGTATCTTCTTAAAAAAAAAAAACAAGTGAAGGACTCTGGTTTTGTCACAGAAAGCCTGACTACCAAAACCTGCATTCTTACCTCGGACGGGGGCGGAGGCAGAGTGGGAGTAGGGATCTGAGGAAGGCTGCTCAGCTTGGCCCCGTTCCGCACCAGCTGGATGTGACTGTTAAACTGGTCCTAGAAAGGAGAAAAGGAAGGCATGATCTGAGCTGAGTGAGCCTCCCTAGAAAGACACACCCACATCCCGTCTGAAGGACACAGAGGGAATGGTAGATAAGCTCTCAGTGGTGAAGCCAAGTTCCCTGCCCATCATCAGTGTTTAAGCAAAGTCTAACTCAAACTCAATGATCCCCATCACTGCACTTACCCGGACATTCTTTTTCATCATCCGGACTCCATTCAGTCTTGTCTCCCACTCCTGTTTGGAACGAACTGTGTCTAGTGTTGGGGGAGTTGACCTTTCAAGAAACCAACAGGAATTTACAGAATTAAAGAAAACCTAACCCTCAGCGCCCTGAGATAGCCTAAAAGAAACGGCCAATGGGCCTGGACAGGAGAGGTCGAACCAGACGTAAGAGAAGGCCAAGGATCTAGGTCGTGTGCCTCACTTTATCTCCAGCATCTTTTAAGCCAAGTATTGGAGAAAGAGAACCAACCACTGAGCCAGGGGTCTTATCTGCCTGAAAAGGCCACAGGTCCTCCAGATTCCATGGCAAGAAGAGAAATGACGACATAAGAAACGAGTCTCCAAGGATATTTGATTTGCTTCCATAGCATAAAAGAAAATGTGAAATAACACAATAGAAATAACTGGAAATAACACAACAGAAAACACAAAATGGTAAGGCTGCAGAGAGGAAGAATTAGAGAATGCAGAAGTTAGAATACAGGAAGAGAAATCACAGAACAATTACTACTGCACAGACAGAGATGACCTTGAAATTCCTGTGATGATACAGTAAGTGCCAGACTAGCTGGCCTAGGGTTTCAACCCTAAAGAAAACAAAACAAAACAAAACAAAACCCACCAACACTGCAGGACCATTAACATTCTAGAATGGGACAATACCTACTTGAGGTAAGTAAGGTGCAGCTCTGCCTCTTTTTCAGCTTCTTCTAGCTTCAACACCAGCAGTTCTTTCCGACTCTCTAGTGATAAGACCTAGGAAAACACACCCACATACTTGATTAATTTTACATATACAAAGCTTAGTTAACAAAATAAATACTTAGTGGCTATATGGTGTAATACTTATATGGTTTAGTGGTTAATACTATTATCAAAAGGATAAATCACCTGGAAGCCAAAAATCAAAGCCTTCAATATAGCAACTCTTCTCACCTCTGCCTTCCAGGCCCGTTCTGTCTCTTCCATAATGTTCTGATTTATTTCACCATCCTGATTCTTGAGTCTATCCAGTTCCATTTCCCACACCTCTCTGGAAGATAAGAAATGAAGAACAAGACTAAGGGGAGAAAGACAGCAAGGCAAAGTAAAATCCAAAATTAGTCTGCCAAGTATGTTACAGAAAGTTTTATTCTAAGTAATAACTATAGATATAGACAAATAATGTTTAAAGTGGTTGCATAAAGGCAAGTAAAATCTGAACCTTAAAATGTTCATACCTCCACTTGCTAAAATAAGGTTACCCAGACCAGGAAAAAGAGTGTCCTTGGAACTAAAACCCACTGCAGGTAAAATGTCCTTCTATGATCAAGAAGGGCTCAAAATCATTATGGCCTCCGACTCATTTCCAACTTATCTGAAGAATGCAGGACAAAAAACAGGCATTCATTTAATACTAATCTCTAAGTCACTACTAAGCACACTTACTGGGTTACTGATGTTACTAGTCTCTTAGCTGTAGTGAACATTCTTCAAAAGGAAGAAACCTTCTCTGTAGACTTCAGGCCTTCACATTCCCATCGGTTTCCTCTCTGACACTCCCACCTCTAGGTGTAATATCCACACTGATTAGGATGACAGCTGCCTGTCTAGTACTGAGGGACCGGTTTGGCTCAGTGGGTTTGGCTCAGTGGTAGAGCGTCGGCCTGCGGACTGAAAGGTCCCAGGTTCGATTCCGGTCGGGGGCATGTACCTTGGTTGCGGGCACATCCCCAGTGGGGGGTGTGCAAGAGGCAGCTGGTTGATGTTTCTCTCTCATCGACGTTTCTAACTCTCTCTCCCTCTCAATTCCTCTCTGGGTAAAATCAATAAAATATATTTTTTTAAAAAGAATATAACATAAAGGTTTTAACTCTTCTATTTATTGGTGGTATAAACCTAGATAAGTTAATCTTCTTAGGCCTCAGTTTCATCTGAAAAATAAGTAGTACCTATATCACAGGATTCATGGGAGAGTTCCCTAAGAAAACACACATAAAGAATTTAATAAAGTGCCTAAAACATGGGATGTATCCAAAAAACATTATTTTTAAAGTATTCTTAACTCAATTTCTCACAATTACACTACTAAGAACCATTATTATACTGCTTTCCAGTCTTTTCAAATAGGTCCTTATATAAATACTAGAGGCCCGGTGCATGAATCCATGCTCTGGTGGGGACTCTCAGCCTATGCCCTCCCTTAATCCGGGATCCCTTGGGAAATGTTGGGACTGTCAGAAACAGCAGTTTGACATCCCCCAAGCAACGTAGTAGTGTGCAAAGCAGAGCCTGAGCCTGGGCTAGGCGCTGCACCGTTTCCACTCACCCCTGAGCCGCTACGCCTGCACCACCACCGCAGCTTGGCAGCACTACCATGGAGGCGGGAGGTTCGCACTGCCACAGCTGCACTTGCCAGCTGAGAGCCCACCAACTGGCGCCTGTTGGTCAGCTGAGAGGTGCTCCCACTGTGGGAATGAACTGACCACCAGGCGGCAGCTCCTGCATTAAGCATCTGTACCCTAATGGTCAGTGCACATCATAGAGACCGGTCAAACAATCGACAAGCCAAACAATTGACCGGTTATTTAGGGTTTTATATATATACTAGAGGCCCGATGCATGAAGATTTGTGCAAGAATAGGCCTTCGCTCTGGCCGGAGCGACCTTTCCGCCTTTGCTCGTCCTGTCGCCTTCCTGTAGCTCCCTCCACTACCCCCCAACCCCACCATAGTAGGCATCCCGCTCTGCCTTAGCTGCCACCATCTTTGTTGCGTCAATTTGCATATTCCCTCCTTACTGGCTGTGGGCGCCACCATCTTTGCTGTGGAGTGATGGTCAATTTGCACATTCCATTTTTATTTTATATATATATGGACTAGAGGCCTAGTGCATTCATGTACCGGTGGGGTTCCTCAGCCTGGCCTGCACCCTCTCACAATCCGGGACCCCTCAGGAAATGTTGGACTGCCAGTTTCAGCCAGGGGCCTGTGAGCCTGCATTGAATGTCTGCCCCCTGGTGGTCAATGCGCATCATAGCAACCAGTCAAACATTTGACCAGTCGCTTAGGGTTTTATATTATCCTATATAATAAAAGCTATTATGCAAATCAACCAAACAGTGGAATGACTGGTAGCTATGATGCTCACTGACCACCAGGCATTCAATGCAGGAGCTGCCCTGGTGGTCAGTGCGCTCCCACTGGGAGAATGTTGCTCAGCCAGAAGCTCTGAGCTGGGCTCACAGCTGGCAAGTGGTGGTAGGAGAGGCTCCACCTCTGCGGCAATGCTAAGGATGTCTGACTGCCGGCTTAGGCCCACTGCCCACCAGCTGGACATCTTCCGAGGGCTCCCAGACTGTGAGAGGGCACAGGCGTGGCTGAGGGACACCCCCCCTGGAGTGCCTCTAGTAGATATATAAGTCCATTATATGTTTCTCAAAGACTGCAATATTTATTTTACTCTTTGATGTAAACAAAAACATCTTCCTTCAGAGAAACTAAAATAAATGTAGTATACATTTGTTCCACCACAAGTGCTGGTGAAAATCAGGTGATTTTATTTATCTTTAAATATATATTTATTGATTTCAGAGAGGAAGGGAGAGGGAGAGGTAGACAGAAACATCAATGATGAGAAAGAATCATTGATTGGCTGCCTCCTACATGCCCCCTAGTGGAGATTGAGCCCACAACCCAGGCATGTGCTGTTGGCTGGAATTGAACCCAGTACCCTTAAGTCCTCAAGCCGACTATCCACTGAGCCAAATAAGCTAGGGCAAAATCAGGTGATTTAAAAGAGAGAAGCAGATGATAAGTGTTTTGTGATATTCTCAGTAGTCAGAGAGAAAACTAAAATTTACGACATCAAATTTTAGCCCCAAATACCTTCCTTTCAGAATACATTACTCCCTAGGCAAAGCAAAAGGAACTGCTGGGTAACTTAATATACAGAAGTTAGCTGTCCTGAATATGGAGTAGGTTACAAAATCCTTTTCTCTGAAACTAATACAATCAATATAGAATGAATGAGATCAGACATAAAGCAGAAAACATTTACCCTGGGATGAACAGTAAGTTTATTTTTCATGAGGCTAGAATTCTTCCTTGATCCAATTTAATTCAACAACATTTACTGAGCAGTGCAGTGATAGGCATTCTGCTAAAACCGTGGGTACAAGGTACCCAGTCCCTGCCCCCAAGAAGCTCACAACCTAGTAGTTTTCTGGGTTAACGAAAGAAAGAAACAAGAAAATTCGGGACAGAACAAATAGCATGTGCTAAGGCCAAATCAGTAAGAGAGCACCAAGCTAAGGAAGCAGGCATTGGGTATGTAAGTCCAACATTTGGTGTAGTCTGGCTGGGGAAACAAATGACAGGGTCACTAGCACAGAGACAGCAGTAAAAACCTAGGTATGAAAGAAAGAATTTAGAATAGCAGTTTGCAAAACATGGCTCATAGTGCCTAACACTCCTTGAGGGCCTGGTCTATGAAGCAATAACTAATTTCATAATTAAAATTAACATTATTTACCTTTTTCTCATCCTTCTGTGAGTCTAATGGAATTTTCCTGAGACCATAAGACAAGTGATATTATCATCTCTGCCAGCTAATGAAATATATGCTTTTGCGTTCTTATGTTTTCTAGCATTTTCTAAGATAAGTTTTGAGTATAATTTAATCTGTCAATTTTTTCTTTCTCAATTTTTCTATTGTACTCTTCCTAGCAATTTTTAGCAATACTTGCTATAATCTTTATAATCTCATATTGTCCAATAAATCATTGCTTTAAAACTTCAAAATTCTTCATGCATCTTGGTAGAAACAAATATTTTTTGTTACTTTGCTTTGCAATGATATCTAAACATTTTTTAAAGCCTAGCCAGTATGGCTGAGTTGGTTGAGCGCTGACCTATAACCTGGAGGTTTGCTGGTTCGATTCCCAGTAAGGGCACATGCCCGAATTGGAGGCTTGATCCCAAGTGTGGGGCATGCAGGAGGTAACCGATCAATTATTCTCTCTCATCACTGATGTTTCTATTATTCTCTCTCTCTCTTCTTCTCCCTTCCTCTCTGAAATCGATCAAAAATATATTTTAAAAAAAGATTTTGCTGCAAATCTGAAGAACGTAGTTAAGATCTCATCTGTGGCATTTGTAATTTTGCTTTACAAATAAATCTATGAGCCTGACTAGACTTGCTATTTTGTTTATATTCGTCTAGTGTTGGCACCAACTCATCACCAAAGATGATGTTGTGTGTGAATTCTTGGCAACAAACACAAGTGATGCTCACATAATACAAGTTGAATAACTTTTGAATCTCATGGTTTATCCTAGAACCACTATGCTGATCCTTACAGTGCAATATAGTATAAAAACTATAGTGGATAAAAAATATTGGCACAGGAGGGGGGTGGTTAGAGATCAACCAAAGGACTTGTATGCATGAATATTAGCATAACCAATGAGCACAGACACTGGGGCGGTGGGGGCTTGTCCTTGGGGTGGGTGTGGTGGGGGAAGGGGTTCAATGGGAGGGGTAAAGGAGACATATGTAATACTTTAAACAATTAAAAAAAAAAAAAAAAGGAAATGAAAAGCATACAGATTGAAAACCAAGAAATAAATAAAACCTTTAAAAGTATTCACACAACAGGATTGTCCATGTATACAACCTGAAATAAATATACAGATAAACTCTCAGAAATAGTAAATAAATTTAGATGAAAGGTCAATCTACAAAAATAAATAAATAGGCACCATACAAAATCAGGCAATGGCATCAAATTATATCACCAACTACTGTATTCTTTTCTGGCACATATTTGCAGTTGGGGGTGGGGGGACATTACAAACAATGTTTATTCAATCTCAACCCTTAAGTAAACATCATTTTAATGTCCTGATCTGATGAAATGCTACATGCCAAAGTGTTTATCTCAAGAAAAACACTTGAGAAAATCTAAGCTGTGAGCTGAACTAACCTCTTTTTTTCATGGAGATACTATTTTACTTTACAGGACAATTGATAGATAAATTATGGATATTTGAA